CTAACATCTGTCTTCAAATGCATGATTTTTGTAATTTTTTCTTCTGCCTTGGTCTTTTTCACCCTGGCTAGTTGAGTGAAACTCTCAGTTTAATGAACTTCTTAAAGAATTTTCTTTTCAAAGTCTATTTTCTCTCTTTTCCTGACAAAGAGTTAAAATTCTTACATTAAAGGTCAAATGCTTATAGCAATATTCATTTACTAAATAATCAATTTAAGCTTTCTTTTAGCTCCTTAGCCTAGAATTCTTCCTTTAATGCAAGAACTTTAACTCTTTATTGAAGAGTTAAGTATTTTTGCTGTATTGACCACTTGACCTCTTCAGCCTAGGTTTATGATTTGGAGTGTTCTCCTTCTGGCTTTGGTAAGACTCTCTGTAGACTTCACAGGTTTTTCAGCATTTTTCACTTTCCAGCTCCTTTGAGCTTCTAATGGTGTCCTGATATTGCTTCAACAGCCTTCTTAACTGTAGGGCCTTCACAGTAGCCGACTGGCTCTGGGTGCTTCTAAACTGGTGAAAATTTAATGATATACTCATAGTTTTCTTACTGGAAATTTTGTCTTGTTTCTTCTCCTCAAATGGCTGTGGCTTTTGTTGAGGATTCCAGTTGCTTGCATGTTATATGAGACATAATGCCCACTTGTTGCCACTATGGCAGCTTTTTTCATTCATTCATTTTTGAGATGTGGACATCACTGCCTGGGCCAACATTTAATGCCCATCTGTAGCTGCCCTTGAGAAAGTGATGAGCTGCCTTCTTAAACCACTGCAGTCCATTTGGTGTAGGTAGAACCAAAATGCCATTAGAGAGTGAGTTCCAGGAATTTAGCCTAACAACACAGAAAGAATGTGAATATATTTTTAAGACAGGCGGTCTGTTGTTATCACATCCCGTGGTACAATCTGAAATGCTTTGGATTGATCCCCTGCCACCAATCCTTCTTATTTGTCTTAGTCTAAATTAATGATACCAAGCAAATTCAGAAGAGATGCTCAGTTTTATTGAACAGAATAGCTTTATTGCACTGTACTTAATTGTTAATCATTAATTACATTGCACTTAGTTACATTGCATCTGAATTATGATAATTTCCAGTGAGACCTCAAACCAGATTTAAGGGTAACTATATTTTATTGTTTAGCCACATGGAACTTAGCTCTTAGGGCAACAACATAGAAACCTGCTAGTTCCACCCAAATACAATGCTTTATGTCCTGATGGGCAAAGCTTTCTTGCGATGTCATTTCATCCTTTTAGGTACTAACTCTCTTAAAGAGCACAGGCAATTGTAGAGTACTGCATGTAGGGAAGACAAATAAATTATGCTTTAAATAGCCAGGCATGAGGTTGAAAGTAATCTGGAAATCATATCAGAATTAAGACTCAATGTGTCCAAACAATGGAGGAAGAAAACAGGAATGTTAATAGAATATTAAATTACCAAACTGAGTACAAAGGTGAATACAAATCAGAAGAAGTTGTGATCAGACTGTATAATGCTGTGGATCTTCAATGTTGTATTATAGTCTGGTTGCTAAGAAGCAAAGAAGACATTCAAGCACTGAAAATATGGTATGCAGACAAAAGCCAGAAGGCTAGTTTTTAGCATTTGGGATCTGTATTTAAGGAAAAGGTGGAAAGGACTTGAGTTTTTCAACCTGAAAGAAGAGATATCTGAGACATGGTCCTACAGAGATATGTGAGGTAATAACTGTTATGGAAAGAAATAATCTGGAATGTCACTTTAAATTAAACAGCAGGCAGAGAACAAAGGGGAAATAATTGAAAGTGGATGAAATAATTTTGGGAATGGTATCAGGAGGTCTTTCATATACAGAAAGCTTAACACTTGGAAAGAAGTTCTCTCTTAAGAAACAACTTAATTTCACAATTCAGATATCTGAAAAAACAATTCGCTCCCATATCTTCTCCAAACAACAAACCAACTCCATCCTGAATTCCTTTATCAAACTAACCTCCACCATACTCTCAAGTCTTGCATTCTAGACCCTAGCCACTTGCCATATGAAAATGTATTTTCTAATGTCACCATTGCTTCTTTTGCCAATTACCTCAAATCTATTTTGTTCGAATCTGTGATGAATTTAAACACATTTTTGAAATCTCTTCCCAACCTGCCCTTCTCCAAAGTGAACTATCCCAAATTCTCTAATTTATCTAAATTACACTGTAATCCCTCATCCCTGAAACTGTTTTCATGAATGTTCTCTGCACCCGCTCTAATGTTTCCACATCTTCAAGTCTACATTACTTCCTTGCCTTTGCACTTTCTAGCTCTATTGATAAAACAATGGACAATGAAACAGTAATCCTGCTCATTCAGAATGTGAAGTCTGCTTATGAAAGAAGTTGGCAATTCTGAATGCAAGAAAATAGAGACTGCAGACCTATAACCTTTGCAACAATGTAAATAGACAACCAAACCTGTCAGGATTAAATCTTTGTTATCAGAGTTATGGCTCTGACTAATCTGTTACTAAATCCATTCAAGCAATGGAAATAAGCAGGATTTATCACAGGTAAGCAATTTTATTTGATCTTTAACAATTATTTCATTAAGGCATCCTTTATGCAAACTTCTTGCAGTTAGTATTGCCTGGAAAGAGTGTAGATTATTGGTTAGTTATGTGTACAGCAGGGCTTATGATAGCAACTGTATCATGTAAAGTATCAACTCAATTTGCTGCTTACAAATTTACTGAATAGGTAACTGTTTTGATACTAAATATAATCTGACACCTGGGAAACAAATAAATTAAGAATATTTTATTTTTAAAAGAGACAGTTCTTGAAGTTCTCAAAATGATGTGGGTCCATGGACATAACCTGACAAGCCATATCAGAAATATGACAGAGTGATTTAATCACACCAAAAGAAAGTCATGTGCAGAAATGTTGCAGTCACTTGTTAATCTTTTGTCAGTTACTAATTGGGAGAAGAATATTGACATAAACTTTACATGCATGAAGAGCCAGTTGGAATGCTGAAAATTTATTCCCTTTCTTAAAAAAAAACTATGTCCTTTTGTTCCCCTTCCCCAATTCTGATAGATTTCTGAAAGTGTTGATAAATCCTTAGAACATCTGGATTACAAACATTGAACACATTGCATAAAGCTTGATTTTAGCTTTGGTATCCAAGAAGAGAGTAGGGTTGCATCATTTGAAACTAAATGTGAAAATTGTTCATAAATAAAAATTATGGAATAATGGAATATTTTCTTATCTTCAGTGGAAAAGCACTAGGTGTAAGACTGATCATACTTAACAATTTGATTGAAGTTACCATTCTGTAGAAAGTTGTTTGATTTGATTTATTATTGTCACATGTACCTAGGTACTGTGAAAAGTTTTGTTTTGCGTGCAGTACAGGCAGGTCATACCATGCAAAGTGTATTAGGGTAATAGAACAGAATGAAGAATGCCATGTTATGGCTGCAAAAAAGGTGCTCAGAGCACGAGATCAACTTTACATTTAAAATTTGAGAGGTCCATTTAAAAGTTTAATAACAGCAGGTAAGAAGCTGTTCTTGAATCTATTCATACATGTAAACAAACTTTTATATCTTCAATCTGATGGAAGAGAGTATAACTGGGATGGGAGGGGTCTTTGATTATTTTGGTTGCTTTCCCTAGGCAGCGGGAAATATAATTGGAGTCAATGGATGGAAGGTTGGTTTGCGTGATGGACTGAGTTGTGTTCATGACTCTCTGTAGTTATTTGTGGAGTCAAGGTGTGTACATCTGAGGGAGTCTTGAGAGGCACAGGATGCATGTATATTGTTAAATAAAGTGATAATTGCGCTAAAATCAGTCATCATTTATCCCATCACTACACCTTCAGTAACCCTGGGTGAAACCTTCACTTATACAGCGTGTGTATCTAGTGTTGTTGGTAATCAGAAGGGTCAGCAGTGTTTAATTGACAAATCAAAACCTTAAGATGTAATATTGAACGTTCCCTTACTTAGTGGGGAACAACATATACATGGTTGGAGAAACTTCCGAGGGATTCAACCTACAAATTGGATCATAACACCAATTAATTTCCACCCCAGAGATAGTAGAAACTGCCGATGCTGGAGAATCTGAGATAACAAGGTGTAGAGCTGGATGAACACAGCAGGCCAAGCAGCATCAGAGGAGCAGGAAAGCTGATGTTTCGGGTCTGGACCCTTCTTCAGAAAATGTGTTCATTTTCTGAAGAAGAGTCCAGACCCGAAACATCAGCTTTCCTGCTCCTCTGATGCTGCTTGGCCTGCTGTGTTCATCCAGCTCTACACCTTGTCATCTCTTAATTTCCACCCCATTTGCCTTTCCTCCCACCTCCTCAAGTGGTGACTTCTCTGGAATAGATTAGGTGATATTAAAAATATTTATAATTGCCTCACCCAGAACATTCACTAAGGTCAGTTCCAAATCCTTCAGGTGCACAAAAATAATGTCCTGGTGTTACATTACACCAACAATTATGCTCTAGGGCAACATCTGATGTCCTCAGCATTCACATTGCCTGTCACTTACTGATGTGCTTTTGCTTCTCCATTATCTTCAAAGGCTTTTCATTCAGGACCTCAAATAGGATTTCCAAATTTGTGATCTGTCCTCTGCACATCCACATTCAACCCATAGAAACATTTCCAAACCTTCCATTACTTACATCAGCTATGCAACTCATTAGCTGTTTAAGAAGAGTGAGTAGATGACTGTTACAGATATGCCATGATTGGCTATTCTTTCATTCATGCTAATGAAATGGCACTCCCCCAAAACTACACACTACTTCCATCTCATTAGAGGACCATAAACAAAATAGAGAATTGTGCTACTTTTCAACAAAATAATAAATATGGTTACAGTTATTTCTTTGCAGTGAGTTTGGATTGCATTTCTTTTTAGTTCTTGGATTATTTAGGTATCTGCCATTCTGCAAATCCTAGGATTATAACCTGTATTTATAGTTTCTTTTCTGTTCCAGGTAATAAGGAACATCAACACATTTGCTAGAACAAAGACCATTGCTCAGGGCTTTCTAGATATAGCTCTATTTACTGCAAATGCATCACAGATGAAGCATCTCCTGCAACAAGGCCCGGAACTACAGTTTTACTATTTCCTATTTGTTCTATTGGTATGTATGTGAAATACCCTTTGCTATACAATGTGAGCACAGGCCCCAGTGTTTAGGATGTACAACTAGCAAAAACAAGATTTTTTTTTTGCAAATTATTGAATTCAACATTACATCATAAGAACCCATATTTGTGGCAATACCTTAGATTTTGTTAACCAAAATCATTTTACTTTCAAATCTCTCATAGCAACTTGTTAAAATGAATTCAGTAAAATCTGTCATTTGTAGGATAGAACCAGAAAATTAATTATCAAGCTGCTGCATTAGTGTGAAGACAAAAGTATCTGAATAATGCCCTTCACAGAAAGGAAGTGGCCACCCTTGGCTTTTCAGATCTACACATGACTTCAGACCTCATGCTGAATGTCTAATCCCATCTGCATTGCTAGAAAATTTCATTCAATTACTATGGCACCAATGAATGGGAAATTAATACAGCCCTGTCAGTACTAACAGCACTCACAAACAATTTTTTTAAGGAAATTTGATTAAGTTCTATTTGCTAAGACTCAGTTTAAATAACCTGTCAGTGATCACCTTCGTAGATTGGGTAGTTTGAAGAAGTAAGGGTGCAGTTATTCAATATTTGGTGAGCAACCTCTTAAAAATGTCTTAATTTGTCAAATAAGACTACACACATCTTCTTAAACTGTTTACTTGCAAGAAATGTGCAGGCAGAGAAGCAAGATTAATTCTAAAATTAAACAGTGATATATTTAAAAATGCTACAAGAATATGTAACAAAAATAAGTGTAGGTATATATCAATGATAAATTGTTTTATATTTAGAGTAATTCATGTTAAAAATATGGGGTTTTGTATATTGCCATATGTACAAATTGTGTCAAATGTTAACATTTATTGTTTTACAGTGCATCTCTATCATACTTCAGTTGATTGTTGCAGCCCTGTTAATTTATAAAGGATCAAAGAACATAGAATGTGATGATCCTGAGCGAAAGCTCAGTGACAGGTATATTAGTTCTTATCATATATATGCAGCTTGAAGATTTATCTTGTCTTTCATTTGTTAGCTCGTCTATTAAGATTTAACTTAAAGCAGACAAAAGAGTTCTTCTGTAAGTGCATGCTCATGGAATAACTAAATAAAAACACAGGGGTAAAATTGAGTTACAAAAGTGCAGTTCCCCCAATACTACCTAACGAACACTAAAGATCATAAAATTTGAAAAGTTATGAGCAGAGCAAATCAGTTCTTTGCTTCTTTTGCACTGGTTTAAGAAAATTCATAATGAAAGGTAATCCTGCCCACAGAACTAGCCATGCCCACCAAACTAACCACACCTACAAATCAAATGAATGAGCACAACGAATTTTTGCTAATTGTGCCAATTTGCGGGCTTCCAAGGAGACTCATCATATCAAGTTATATTTTAGACAGGAGATTACTCAAAAGATTTTTTTAACTTCAGTATTGAAACAACTTAATTTGCAAATCAGCTGCCTACTGCACTCCACAGCATCAAGGAAATGGTTTATCAAGTCCTTTTTTTAAAAAAGTTGCTATCGCTTATTTAAAATCTAGTTACTAACATTAGCCAGTGGATTGGACTTGCTCAAAATCTTTTTTGGGTGTCAAACTCCTTTTTAGCTCCATTAATAAAACTGAAACAGGGACCATGCTTATGCACCTTAAGGACAACTTCTAATTCAAGAAGAACAAAAGAGCTACATTTGAAACAAATGTCCAATTGCACTGAACTTTATGGCAAGGTTATGCTTTTGATTATGCAAATAAGTTTGAATAGAAACTTGAACTATAACTTAATTTTGGAGCAGCAATGCAATTTTGACAAGATTGTTAATCGCACCCAAAGTGAAGAGTTGGGCTATAATTCTTATTGACAGGATCAAACATTCTCCTCATAGTTCCACCAGCTAAGTGATAAAGGAGCAAAAAGAACTGATGCATCTAAAATGTACAAAATGATGAAAATTTTCCAGCTTGTAAAGCATATTGCCAATATTTCATCACAATACAGATCTTGTAAAAATGGAAACAGACTTTCAAATAACCCTATAAATATCATGCCAGTATTTTTTTAATTTCCATAACTAACATTTTGATTCAAAACAGTGATTTCTGTCAATCATTGTTCCAATGTTTTCTAAAATGCTCATGGTGCTTTCCCCAAAATGTTGTTCATTAATTGGTGTCTTTCTCTTAAGCAGAAATAATAATACTTAACACAAAATGTGATTTCTAGCCATAAAAGTAAAACAAAAATACTATGATTTAATTCATTTTATTTTCTTTGTTCTTAGTTGGGCACTACAACAGTCATCGAGGACAAACTGTACAAGAAATGTTTGCACTTGCAACCTTACTCATTGCACATAAGCAATCAAATCAGAAGTTTTAAACTTATTTTGATAAGATTTAGTCCATGCTGCACATTCCACTTGTTTTACTTTGCTTCAAAAGGATATTTTATAACTGGGCTAAAAGCATAAGATTAATATTTCAGAGAGATTGGAGCAAAGAGTGATGTTATTTATGTGATCTCTCTTCAACATTCAGTGACCTCCATTGAGGTCAAAATCGAGTTTGTGAAAAAACTCTTTATGATTTTTACATTGTCCACAGTAGGAAGAGAAACTACATGCTCATCAAGAATGACTGCTACTGACCTGGAAGGGAAATGGATTAGAAATCTGAAGTGAAATTGCCTAGGCTCAGAAATATTGTACATAACCACAGTGAATGACAGTCTGGAGTAGGAAAATAATCTTTTCGGCTCTGTGGAATGTTGTCATCTGGATCAGAAAGAAAACCTATCTGGTCAACAGTCAAAAGCTATATTTAACTGAGGGAGAGTTGTATGTAACAGTAAGCTAAGACTGCCAGGGATAAGAAAACGAAATAATGAGTATTGAACATCATTTTGGTCATATAAACTATAGGTTATTTTATTACTTACTTTTTTCAATGTTTTAATTGTACAAGTATGGCTGGTTTTAATGTACTTTATTGTTAATTGAAAAGAAAGGATACAGCATCTAGCCATATAAGATGATAGTTAGGGACACAGCTGTGTGCTGTTCTGGTCACTCTATTACAGGAGGGATGTGAATGCACTAGAGAGGGAGTGGACGAGATTCACCAGGATGTTGCCTGAGATGGGGCATTTCAGCTGTGAAGAGACTAGACATGCTGGGTTGTTCACCTAAGTGTAGAAAATACTGTGAAGGGAGCAGCATTTCCTCTAAGTTGCAATGTTCCACACAATGGCAATTGATGTGCTGACATGGATTACAGTATTGACTTCTGTTTCCAGAAGTCATTGCAATGCATGGACCTCAGAGGTTTGTAAAGAGGAATGAAAGATCAGGGGGAACATGGGAGTCCTGACTGAGACGTATAAAATTATGAGGTTCACAGCTAGGTAGATAGAAATAAACATTTCCCCTTAGTAGAGGGATCAATAAGCAGCGACTATAGATTTAATGTAAAAATTGGAAGTTGGAATGATTTTAGGAAAGAATCCTTTCACCCAGAAGATTGTGGGTATTTGGAATTTACTGTCTGAAGGGGTAGTTGAGTCTGGAGCCATCACAACATTTAAAAAGTCTAGTGATCATAATTCTATTTGTTTCAAAATGGTTATGGAAAAGGATAAGCCATCCATAAAAATTAAAGCTTTTAATTGAAATAAGAAAAATGTTAATGGTATGAGACAAGAACTTTTAAAAATTGATTGAAGTAGGCTGTTCGCAGGTAAAGGGATATCTGATAAATAGGAGGCATTCAAATGTGTGATAATGAGAGTTCAGAGTCATTACGTACCTGTTAGAATTAAAGGTGTGGCTGGTAGGATTAGGAGCAATGGATGAATAAAGATATTGAGGTTCCAGTAAAGAATAAAAAAGAATCATACATTAAATATAGACAACTGGGTCCAAATGAATCTCCTGTACAGTATAAAGAATCTAGGGGCATTCTTAAGAGGGAGATGAGGAAGACAAAAAGAGGATATGAGATAGCCTTGGTAAATATAGTTAAGGATAATCCAAAGAGATTCTACAAGTACACTAATAACAAGAGAACAACTAGAGAGAGGTAGGGCCCCTTAAAGATCAAAGTGGTCATCTTTGTGTTGAACCTCAGGAGATGGGAGAGATATTAAATAATATTTCATGTCACTTTTTACTGTGGAGAAAGAAATGGAGGCTAGGGAACTCAGAGAAATAATTATTAATGTTTTGAAAACAGTTCATAGTACAGAAGAGGAAGTGCTGAAGGTCTTAGAAAATATAACAGTTGATAAATATCTGGGACCTGATCTAGTGTATCCCAGGACTTTGTGGGGCACCTTGAAGAAATATTTGTATCATCTGTGAATACGTGTGAGGTGCCAAATGACTGGAGAGTGGCTAATGTTGTGCTTTTCCTTAAGAAGGGATGTAAGATGAAGCCTGAGAACTGTAGACCTGTGAGTCTGACTTTGGTGGTGGGTAGTTTGTTGGAGGTGATACTGAAAGGTAGAAGTTATATGCATTTCGAGAGGCAAGGAATGATTAGGGATAGTCAGCATGGTTTCCTGCAAGAGAAATTGTGTCTTATAAACTTGATTGAGATTTTTGAGGAAGTAACCAGGAAGATTAATGAGGGCAGAGTGGTAGACGTTGTTTATTTGGATTTTAGTTAAGCCTTTGTCTTCATTGCTCGGATCTTTAAGGATAGGAGTTGGGACATTATGTTGAGGTTGTACAGGACATTGGTCAGGCCTGTTCTGGAGTACGATGTCCAGTTCTAATCACACTGTTATAGGAAGGATATTATTAAGCTGGAGAAGGTTCAAAAGAAATTTACCAGGGTGTTGCTGGGAATGGAAAGTTTGAGTTAAAAGCACAGGCTGAATAGGCTGGGACTTTTTTCACTGGAGCATAGGGGTTTGAGAGGTGACCTTATGCAAGTTTACAAAATCATGGAAGTAATAGATAAGGTGAATGGCAGATGTCTTTTCCCTAGGATGGGGGATTTCAAGACTAAAGGGCATACTTTTAAGGTGAGAAAGAAAGATTTCAAAAGGACTCGAGGGGCAACTTTTTTTACACGGAGAGTGGTTCGAGTGTGGAATGAAGTTGTGGATGTGGGTATAATTACAATGTTTAAAAGACATTTGGATAAGTTCATGAATAAGAAATAGTTGGAGTAATATGGGCCAAGCGCAGGCAGGTGGAACTAGTTTAGTTTGAGATTATGATCAGCATAGACTTGTTACACCGAAAGGTCTGTTTGTGTGCTATATGACTCTATGACTCTAAGTATTTAGATGATATATTGAAGTGCTACAGGATCAAGGCTTCTGGCCAAATATTGGAAAATGGGACAACAGCAGATAGATTCTTGCTGACAGGCATGGGCATAATAGGCCAAAGGGCATCTTTCTGCGCTGTAAAACTCTATGACAATCTAGTATACAATGCTAAAGGGAATGACCGCAGTATTTACATGAAATTTAGGAGCAGTTGCAGGTGATCCAACTCTGTTGCAGATCTGGGCACCACACCTTATGAAGGATATATTGATCTTGGAGAGAGAACAATATAGGTTTACAAGAATGATACCTGGACTTCAGGGGTTATGAGGAGAGATTATACAAATTGGGCCTGTTTTTTCTCTACAATTTAGAAGGTTGAGGGTTTATCTGATCAAAGTCTTCAAGATATTGATATGAAAAGGCAAGCCAAAAAAAAGTAAATTATTTCCACTGGTTCTAGAACAAGGGGATCATAGTCTGAGAATAAGGTCAGAACTAGGTTCAGGAGAGATGTTTGGAAGCACTTCTGCACACAAAGGGTAGTAGATGTTTGGAACTCTTTTCGACAAATTGCAGTGAATGTTGGGTCAGTTGTTAATTTTAAATCTGAGATTTTTTTTGTTAAGCTAACGTATGAAGGGATAAGGGGCCAAAGGCAGGTATATGTAGTTAGGCCACAGAGCAGCCAGGGCCTCATGAATGGTGGAACAGGCTTGAGGGGCTGAATGGTCTAATACTATTCTTATATTCCTTTGCAATGCATTCGCTCCTTTGAAAAGATTCTCTGTCTGAAAAACAGTCTGATTTATATGTTTAGATGTCTGTCAGGTGGGGAATACTCCAGTAAAAGGCAGTGTTCAGCTGTTGTTGAACTGTACCCACAGGAAAATGGAATGTGAGGTGGAGTAGAGTAGCATGGGTGGGAATGCTAGTGTGCTAAGCACAGAATCAGAAAGAGAGTGGAGGTCAAGGGGAAATCAGGGGCTAGGAGGGTGATGAAAGGAAGGGATAGAGGGAGGTAGTGGCAGGTTGCTCACATATTGACTGGTTGGATCAGCTCCTCCTGATCTACAACTAAGGTACTAGCCTGATGGATTCAAACTTTTCACCTACTTTTATCTGTTGATTCACCCAAGGCCCAAGAAGACTGGCCAAAGTAAGTTAAAAATAGAAATTCTGTTTAAAGAAATGCATGAAACCTCTTTAAAAGGTTTCAGTGATTGACCTGTCTCCTGAGAGTAAATTGATCATCAAGTCTCATGCTGCCTCTGCTAAATCTGCACAAGTTCAAGGTGATTATGTCCCAATTTCAGATTTTTACTGCTTTAACTGCCCTTCCAACCCAAACAACCCCATTATTTTTCTAAATTATGCAATAATTTTTGATTTCATTGAATGTCAGTGTTATGCCTTTGAAAGAGTTGAGTTAGGACAGCTTATGACAACTCCCACTGAAAATTCAGTGACAAATAAGTGATACAATACAAATGAGTTCCCAAATTTGGTCCAATAAACTTAGTATCCATTATTGTTTTATTTGTTTTTGTAACCTCAATGATTTAAAATAAAGGTCTACTGAGCAATTAGTTAATTTTGTCTCTGCATGTTACATACTTATACGGCCAAGAAAATCCAGTCACTAGATCATTGGAAATCTTACGTGTGGAATCCTGTGGAAATCTTGACATACAGACCTCCATGAGAATAGCCCAGGATTTTCAACTACTGGTCAACAATTCTCCTGGCAAAGCAATTCTCCCGAGTTGCAAAGCAACAACTGGCATATGACCATTAGAAAAGTAACAACTGCCCCTTGAGATGAATTTGCATCTTCCATTTCAATCAACACTAGACACCTACTCTATACAGGCATAATTTATGTTCTGCAGAAGTGAGCTATAAAATAGGAACATTAAAAACGGAATAGCCCAATCAGCCAATCAAGCCTTCATTCAAAATGATCATTGTTGATTGAACACTTAATGGCTTTTTAAAAACACCCAATCTCCAAAGCCCTGTACTCACCAACATTTTTAGATTGTACCCTTGGTTCTAGACTCTGTAACCAGGAAAACATCTTGCCTGCATCTATCCTGTCCATCCACTTAAGTATTTTGTACATTTCCATGAGATCACCTCTCATTCTTCAAAACTCCGGAGAATATAAGCCCAGTAATAATGGAAAGTAGTGAACATCACATCATTACATCATACAACATGTCCACCCGTTTTAAGGTGGACTTTTCAGGAAATGGGCAAAAATAATGTAAACCTATGAATTAGTGAGAATGTGAACAATTACAGATCTCACACATATCCTGGTGCAGTATACCTTGGACACTGGAAACTAAAAGGCACTGTGTAGTTAATTTTTGAACTAAGATCAATTAAAAACCTTTTCTAAAGGATGTTGATGCATATTATGCAATAAGAAAATTACTTCCAGTCACCAGCATATTATTTCACACCAGAAAGTTCTTGGATTCCATTCAAATATCAGAGAGAAGCAGAGAAAGAGAATAAGGGAGTTCAGTTGATTCAAAGCAGCTCTTTTACATTGGCCAAATGCCAGTAAGACTTTTGGTATTAATGTATTCACATAGTAATTATTTTATCATCATGATAGAATTTTCCTGCAATTTTCAGTTAACTAGGTAGCCAGTTACATCTCCTGAATTTTTACTGCTTTGTTTAGACATGCAAATGTTTTAACTGTGGTCTCAGCATAAAGCTACAGTTTCACTCCAGGGTGTTTGTAAAACAATTGCTTTGTTAATGGAGCATAGCATACAAAATCTTGCAAATGGCTGCACTAGATATCCTTTCAATTGTGTCAGAAATTAAATTATTTACTAAATGAAGCTGATAGAAGTTCTGCCAATTTAAATTAGATTCAGAAGATAGACCTGATTTAATATTTTAGTGATGCCACTAAACTGTTTTGGAACCTCAATGCATGAACAAGTGTAACAGTATGTGCTTAATCACATTAAGTAATGACATTATTTGTTGACTTATTGATTTATTTATTGTTGTGACATTGCTATAGTTTTACAGCTTTTGTGGGTTGAGCAAGTTTTAATTGAACATATTAGAGGAGAATCTCTTATTTGTAGTAAAATCATGAATATATGAAAATATATTCTGCAATTTCACTGAATGACTTACCCCATTGTGCACTTCCAAATGTAACCTGATCTCTGCTCATAATCATTATCACCAAAGTGTTTAAACCATCTGCTATTTGTATTAGGCAATTTCTGAGGTTGAATATGGCAAGACACTTATGAACAGTTAATGTGTGGTTTTCCTGCCCTCCTTCTGATTCCATGCCATGTATGAGCCAAATACTGTAAGGGGTTTGCCCTTGGATCTCCATGGATCTTTGGGTTTGCAATGGTTCATTGGCAGGCAACAGTGCCATGTTTTCTGGTATCACTTGTCCTCAAGTGCAACCAAGCAGTGATCCAGAAAGTTAGGTGGGAAACTACCCTCTCTCTCCCTCTCTCTCTCACACCTCACTTACATGTCTCAGAGGGGACTACAGCTGTTCCAAGCACAGACCAAGCTCCAGCCTCGCAAATCCTGGGGTGACATCAAAGGATAAAGATTCAGTGATAACAATTTCCACCCCTCTTTTTACTAATCAGTGTCTCTGATGTTAAGCAATCCCAAGCCACGGGTTGGGAAAATCAATCTTATAATCCCCAGATATTCTCTCCCAACAACGTCGCTGAACCCCAAAAAGCACAATTTCATGCAACAGCAGATCTGTTTCCAACTATGTATTCCTCTTTGTGAGACTAGTAATTTCATATTTTTGTTGATGATTGGGTTGAGACTGCTAGTGGCCACAGCTGGTGACAGGTTCCTGAGAGCAAAATTGAGATAGTCATCGAAAGCCTCATTGACCAACCTCCAAATGATTGTGTGGTGGTAGTTGTGGAGATAATCATGACCCCCAATGGCATTGCCAGTGGACCCACCACTGGGTGTATCAGTAATACATGCAAATCTTAATTTAAATGTCCTAATGTTGGTTCTCATTACAGTGGATTATCACTCCATATTTATAAGTAGCAGATCTGGGCTTTCACATGTAAGCACCAAGCTGGCAGTCAACGTGAAAAAGTCATCGTGTCTTCCACCATGACCTTGGTGTATTTGATTCCTGACTCTTTCCTCTTTGTTTTCAGAGTACATCTACTGAATAATATTGTGACCGGTTTGATCCTGGTGATCACAGCTGTCAATATTTTCATCACTTCATTCTGGTTCAGTCCTTCCCAGTCCAAGCTGGAGGAGCAACGCCTCGGTCAAGTTGTTACCTGCACCAACTGTTGACCAGCGTCTACACACACACAGAGTAAAACCGGCTGCAGAAAAATAAAGAAGAACTGGACAAGTCAGCCGCTCCATCACCTCGCTCTTTTGTTTAGGCATCTTACCATCAGCAGTATGTGGATTTCGGTCTCTGTTGGTGATTGAGAGACAGACGCACACAAACACACACACACTCTCTCTGACAGTGTTGTCCAGGGTGCCGACAATACCGCTGTTAGTTTTATACTCTACACTCCAGAACAGTTAAAAATGTCGAGCAACGGACGCCGTCTCCTTCGGGATGAGAAATCCGCGGGATTTTTGCAGTGGTGGCTTGACTCAGAGCTCTGGGGACATAAAACGATGTTCACGTTAATTATCAAACTGAACCACTCTCAAATGTCACCGTTAAAAGGATGCGGATTCCAACAGGTTAAATCTCAAGAGTTGGTTACAGCCTCTCGAAGTCTTAAATAAAACCCAGAAGTGTGGAATGCTGGAAGTCTGAAACAAAAACAGAAATAGCTGGAGAAACTCGGTAAGTGTGGCAGCATGTACGCAGTGAAAGCAGAATGCAGGTTTCTGGGTATCCACCTGATCAAATTTCTGATGAAGAGTCATCGGACCCGAAACGTTGACTCTGCTTTCTCCCCACCGGCACCAAACCTGCTGTGTTTCGCCAGCTATTTCTGTCTTTGCCTCTCGACTTCTTCACTTGTTATTTTTTTGACGGGTTTGGGATGGAATATAGTGAGAGATTAAATTTGGAAGTATATTTGAAATGTTGCAGACTCTCTTTAGTTTAATCCATCTGCCAATGTATTCGGTTGGCCACAGATGGGCGGATAACACGCGTCCAAAAAGCGAATTTACTCTCAAACCACTGCATGCTGGAAATATCGGAGACTGAAATTAAATGCTTGCAGACAGCGAATTCGGCACCGGAACATCCAACAACGTCCCGTTCAAGATCATTGCCCTGCAGAAATTCTCTCTTCAGATGCTGTCTGATCTGCTGAGAATTTACCAACAGTTTCTGTTCTGATTTTATTGTCGAGTTTATTGGCTCCTGTGATTTCAAATGGAAGTGTTCCTCTCGAGAAATTACATTTAAAGCCCTCCAAAACGACAGAGGAGCAAAACGCTGCTGATGCTGGCGATTTGAAATAAAAACTGAAAATGCTGGAGAAACTCAGCAGGTTGGGCAGCATCTGTTGAGAGATAAACATTTCAAGTCTTGGTCGGAATTTTGACACTGAAGAAGGTTTTGAAGAAAAGTCATCTTGGATTCCAAACGTTATATGTGTTTCTGTCTCTAACTGACTTTACTGAGTTTCTCCAGCATTTTCTGACTTTGTTCCTTTAACTCCTGCCAGGGATTATATCTGACGTAGATGTGAGTTTTACAACGATCTTTTAAAAAAACACAAAAATTCTTATGGAAGGATGTTTAGTTGCATAATTCTCATTTCATTGATCAGTGGCAGCAATCCCCGGGTTAATACTGAAATAACAGGCCTCTTCCGTACAGCCTCCCTGCAGGTATCAGTTCCACGCCTGCTTGTCACGCGTTGCTTGAGAACCGCTTTTAGTCTGAGCTGAAATAAAAGCAGAAAATATTGGAAATACGCAGCAGTTCTGATAGTATCTGTGGAGAGAGATGAGCAAGTCTAATATTATCATTGTTCAAAGCGTGTTTCCCAATCAGCAATGCATCAACACACAGGGAAAGTGCAGCTACATCAGAAAGTCATTGATGCAAGCTTGTGGCAAGATGAAAATGGAGCTCTTTCCAACCGAATAAACCCTCGACGTTAGATCCAGAAATTTGTCGATGTTCCCGCATGATGACGGGGCTGACATTTATGAGATTATTCGACCATATGAGAAGTTTGAGCCAGATACCTGGCTCACTGCAAATTAATCGCATTTTGCTTTTGCTTCCAGATTTTATTTTGTTTTCAGACCTTTGATACAAATGAGAAAGGGCGCTACAAATAATGTCCGGTCTAAATGGGAGGTTGATGGCGGCGCACGCTGCATTACTAAATTTGCTATGGGATGATTAACAGGCGACAAGTTTTACACTATGTGGGTAGGTTAGTATTGCTGTTTGGCGAGTGTGCCTAGGCCATATACTAATATTATGGAACATGGTCGAGGGCAAGTCTAAGAAGGTAAGTCTTTAAAAAAAATAAATGATTGTCACAGACTTTGACAGTGTAGACGGTGGCTATTTGGCCCATCGTGTCTGCTGCTGCTTTTCAAATGGGCCAAATGATTGTATCAAGATGATGTGGTTTGTATTCGACCAGGTCACCAAAGAAAGCAGTACTTTAGCAGCTTCCAACTTGAAGCAGCATTTAAACCAGATCATCTAACTGAGAAAGAATTATTTAGTGTCCTAGAAAAAAATGTCCAAAGTCTGCTCAGGCAGACTCCACACAGGGGCTGGAGGGGGTGAAAGAGAATTTCTTAATTAGTGCTGTGCACGGATTTCAGACAGAATATAGTTGTCCCTTAACATTACTGAGGAAAATAAAAGTCTGATTGCAATTCCACTCTCTTAATCCTCGCAACAAAATTCATTTCGGATTAAAATAGGATCCCTGGCTTTTAGTTATGATCCCCAGGGGGCTATCTGATTACAGGATTCCCAAAGCATCATAATTTGAAGTTGTACCTCTGCTAGCAACAATGTGTGATTCCACACCACCATCCCGCCCCAACCCTTCCCTCCCCTCCCACGGTGTCTGGGAGGTGGTACATGCTGAAGGTGGTGCCCCACTCGGGACATATGGCGCAAGCTACAGAATCGGCAACTCGGGTTTTTGGGGGGTTGCTCGCTACTCGATCCACTACGCGAGACGTCAGTTGTATCCATCGTGCCGACAGGTTGAGGAGGCTGTTGATGTGGGAGCCGGTGGAGCACGTCTCTGTTGTTTCCCTCTTGCTGCCTGTTGGCTGAGATTTCCGTGCCCTGTGTTTGGTGCTGGTGCTGTGTGGAAACGCACGGTGCTCCCACTCCTGCTGCTGTTGTCCTGTTGGAGATGTCCGGGAGCCTTTCCTGTCGCTAATTCATCCAGTCACCAAGACCCGAGTGCTGTGCACCCACAGAAGCCTGGAGGAGACGCGTCTCTGTCGCTGAGCTCTGCCCCAGGGGAGGTTGTGGAGGGGGGGGAGGGGGTTGCTGTGTGGATCAGAGACCACACGGGAATGGGTGCGAGGCAGTCCGGTTCGGTATGATTACTCTGCCCCATCCGTGCAGCCACTCTCTCAGCGTGCGGGAATAACCGGAGCTTCTGATCAGCCCCAGTCCGAGCATGTATTCAAGCAAGACGTGTTTGTGAGACGGAGCATCTTGGTCATATACCGGAGGCTGCTCTCTCCAGCCCGGAGGAAAGAACAAGATCAAGTGCGATCAAGTGCGATCAAGTGGTTGATCCCGTTCCCCGCTCTCCGCCAGCACCAAGCCTGCTGTTGTACAGTGAGAACCTTGGAGAGGGAGATCTGAGGCGCTGGAACTGGGATGGGATCGCAGCGCTCCAGAGAGCCCGAGATCTAACATTGCCTGGCGTCTGTTCCGTCCATTCCAACTCTCTATGAAATGGAAAATCGCGGGATCGCCAATATTCTCTATTACTTGATGCTAAACGCACCGCTTTTGCTCTGTGTTAACGGTGAGTAACTGAGACAGCATCTCCTTCACTGGAGAGATCGGTGAGTATCATTCGCTTTGCTCGGGCTAAAGCCACGGGAACCTATAGCCTGGGAAGAAAACGAGTGGAAACGACATCCGACTAAATTCTCCCAGCGACCAGCAAAGTGTTGGCTGTACGTTATACAGAATTATGGATTTCAAGTCTGATTGAACTGGGAAATGTAAATACTAGCGACAACCTCAAAACGCAGTCATTCAACATGCTTGTACTTTGAAGAGTTGCAGTTCTGTTTGTTCGAATTAATTGAATGGAAATGTTTAAATATTCCGGCCGTGCATCACGCATTTTAGAAACATTCCATCGTAATTTAGAGTTGCATTCAGGGACAATATTGGAGCGAGTGGAGGGTTTTGAGTAGAATCATAGTCATACAACATGGACCTGGCCTATATCCCTCCAAACACTTCTTATTCATGTATTTACCCAAATGTCTTTTATTGTTGTAACTGTACCCGCATTCACCACTTCCTCTGGAAGTTCATTCCATATACAAACCATTCTTGCTTGAATGTTTCTCATTCAAAGCGATATAATGTGGATGATTTTAAAATGTAGATCGTGTGAGAAAGAAGATATCTAATGGAGACTGGCTGAAACCTTTCATACCTGTTGTAAACAAAGTCAAATTATGACTTTTTACATAAGAATTTAAACGATGTAGGCTATCCTCCAAATCTCTACCGTGCACTTAACTGAGGGGAAACTACACCAAGACTTCTTTTGTTTATTGACCGTCGCTTTATACTGTTACCCCGTTTCTTTTTCTGACAGCAAAATTTCTTGAAGTACCCCAGGATGTGATTGCTAAAGAAGGCGATGACATTGAGATGTCTTGCGCGTTCCGAGCCAGTGGGGCCACCTCGTATTCGCTGGAGATCCAGTGGTGGTACCTGAAGCAATACCCCAGGGAGCTGGCACACGAGTTGGCACGCGGTGGCCAGGGAAACAGGCCCAAGGTAAGGACGAGACTGGAGCATGGGGAACGTGGGCAAAATGAAGACATTCACCTCCGAGGCATTTACGGAAGCGCTCACAACTGCACTGAACTGAAGAAATCCCTTTATCACAATGCAGTGACAATGCATTGACCGTTAATGATGAGGTGGAGTGGGGGGGCGGGCTGTGGGAGGAATAAAATAAGCCCATATGCAGAGCGTCAGCAAACATCTCTAATATAGCTCGCAACAGTTAAAGAGAAAGGCACCCGGAAAGCTTATGGTAGAAATCTTCCTCTCAAAAAGAAATAGTACATTTCAAAGTAAGAACAAAAGTTAAGTCCAACCACTGCTGATAAAGAGGCATTAAACGCTGCAGACTCCACGGAAGCTCACTCTGGGTCAAGGTCTGAGGTGAGAATGCATATAAGTGCCCCAGAGTGAAAATACATTGTCACGATATTTAGCAAATGTAAGTGCTAATAACTGGCCAGGAGTTTCAAGTATAGGGTTCCTTGAAGAAAATCGAGCTAGCTGAAAATGTGTTTGGTTTCATCAATATATAGGAGCAGGATTTGTGTTAGGATTTCAAACCCAATGCGGGCACAAGGTTATGATGCTAACTGCCACAAGCGGTTAATGCGTGGAGTCGAATGCAGAATCCTTCGTGTGGGTGAACAGAAAGTCCGGGCTAACCGGGCTAAAAAGCAGGCCAGCCCTTTGGATTGAACCTAGTGGTTTGAAGGAACGGGTGAGGGCAGATATGTCACCGACCCCATGTTGAAGGTATGGGGAGAGCAGGAGAATATCAGCACAGCCGCGATTAGCGCCAGAACCACAGTGGAATCATGTTTGAATGGGAATCTTAAGGTTTTTACTCCATCCCGTATCCTAGTGGTGTAAAGGCATTCTAAAGCTGTCTTCAAATCAGCCGAGCTTCCCGCATGATAAACTCCCAGCCAAGATGTCCGGAACAAAGTAGGTATAGACTGAGAAGCTGAACCTCTCCTTCATTCCGGGGTTGGTCCAAATGGTCTCTCTCCTTCGGATAAAATGACAGGGTACCAATTTTGCGGGTATTTTTGGGGCAGAGGAGTTCAACTGAAAGGCCCACATTTCTGTGACAGGACGTATTCATTTTGATCCCTCTCAGTTATTTCTCACTGATGAAGAACCTGTCACGTGTAGAAGTATCAAGCCCCCTCATAACTGCATTAAGCATTTGCAAACCGAGAAAATGGCAACGTTGGTTATGGCGCTGAAATACATCAATTATACTTTCCTAATTGTACCAATATTTTATTACGTGTAGTACAATTGAATATTCCAACGTGCTGGCTATCAGCAGCGTTAAAAGCATTATAATTACTGACAATACACAGACCTAACTCCAGATGTGGTTAAAACACGGGCTGAATCGGAACACAAGTTAAATGCATAACTTATGGCACAGGGCGAATTAAAGCATCAGCGGGTAAAAAAGGATCAAGATGAAGAAATGACATTCCACTCTTGCTTCTAATAATCTTTCCCTCCTGCTTATGTCTGTCAGAAAGATTTGACTTTCAGTTCTGATTTCTTAGCCTGGAGGATTTAATGCAATTTCTTTACTTTTTCCAGGTACCAGTAAACAAAGATGCCACAAAAATCAGCGTAAGTTCTGTTTTCCACTACGCTACGTGCTATTAATCAACAAGTTCCAGTTAGTAATCCTAATGTGAAGCATTGCTTGCCGTAAAATATGGTGGGGGCGAACAAGCCACACTGGCGACGCTCATACGCTGCTCGGTACTTGGAAACATACTGGATTCACTTATTTACAGAATCCCTGCGTACAAAGTGCCCGGGAGAAACAACAGCGACGTAGAGAAAGCTCATATCCTTACTTGTATTTCCTCATACATTTTACTATTTCATTTAATTAAATAATTAAACGATGGCATAATTCAACACAGTCAGTAATTATTTTGCACTGTTATTAAAACTATTCAACTTTTGTAAAAAGTATTTTAATGAAAAACATATCCTATATTTAGTTTCTCTTCCCTACAATGGATCATTAATAGTATTGCTGTGTAGCTTTAATTGTTGTTTTACTTTTTTGCTCTTCTCATTCTTCATGTTATTATCTATCCAGTTTATACTGTGTTTCAATTCTATTTCCGCTATTGAGACTGATCTTTTGCTCATGTGTTTGGAGCCCCTTTTTTCTGATACAGGCTTTTCTTGCCTGCAGACTGTCCGGGTGATGGGAAACGACATTTCGCATAAGCTGCGGCTCTCTGGTGTGAAGAAGGAGGATGAGGGTGTTTATGAATGCAGAGTGACCGACTTTATCGACGACGAAACTCAGGAACACAAAGCCCAGGCCACCTTACGGGTCTTAGCCCGCTACGGCCCGGAGATGCAAGCGGCCGAAGCTGTCTCCCACATTCAGAGTAACGGACCCCGCAGAGGCAGCGTGCGTTCCACCCCGGCACCGGGCTCAGACAAGAGGCGAGTGGCAGAAGCGAGTTACGGTAACGATACCACCTCTTCACCCAGCCCCGCCTCTGTCTCCCCACCCCCAGGCAACGCAGCCATGATCGGACAGCACACCTCCGGTAAGTTAGGTTACATTGCCACCATGTGGGCAGTCAGGAGCATGCATTGTCCTGCAGTGTGTTTGTGTGTACGCTAATCAAATTAATGCTGACAATTGACAAAACACTGTGCCGGAGATCTGAAATATGAATGGACAGACACAGCGGGTCTGTTAGCACCTATGGAGAAAAACACAGAGATAACGTATCAAGTCGGTGAATTTTCGTCACAAATCAATTAATAGCCGGGTTTCCAAATGAGTTCACGTATGAAGCTTGTTTTTATCATAAGCACAGAATGCCTCGCTAAATTCTGCTACCACGTCCGCAATTAATCAGAATGTATCTGAGCATATTCCACCGGTTTACTTAAGGAGGAGGCACTTGACGTTTTTAATTTTGTCTTTCACAACACCAGATCTTCACAGAATACCGCATTTCATGAAGTACTTTTGATGTGTGACCACAGAGTAATATATCAAACGTGCACAGGAAGAACCCCAAACGAGCAATGAATTGTTAATCTGTTCTAGGTATGTTGGTTAAGTGATAAATATTGCGCAGAGGGAGAGGGAATTCCCCTGTGCCAAGGGATCTTCTACATCCATTTGGGGGGCGTATTTGGTCTCAGTTTCAGAATTCAACTGAAAAATGTCATCTCTGACAGTGCAGCACTCCCATCAACACTGCAGTGATGGTGCCAGCCAAATTGTGTGCTGAAGTCTTTGGAATGAGACTTGAGCGCTGAAGTATTTGATTCAGAAGTAAAATTGCTACCATTGGGCCAGAACTGATACTTAAGCGCCTGTTTGGAATTTTGCCATTGATAAATTTATCAATTATTTCCAGACAATGATTTCAGCAATAAATGGATTTTTGCTTTGCAATTCAGTGCTAATAATTTCAATCACTGAATATTTGGAGACTTGTAGAAATTATGTTTTAAAATTTAATCAAATATATTTGTAGAAAACATCTGCATATGTTGAAATTCCTTAAGGAACTAGGACAAATGGATTTCTTTCCCCAATGACAAGAATGAGCCACATGGGTTTTTACAGCAATCCAGTGATGGTTACCATCACTGACTTTTATTCCTGATTGATTTCATTCAATTTAGTTTCTACAGTTGTGGTAGTAAGATTTGAACTTGTGTCAGTGGACTACTACTTCAGTAACATAGCCACTATACTACGCTTTAAGCGGTGTCGGAGGGGGGAGGAGGGAGGGGGGAGCCTTTTATGGTCATATAATTGCAGTTATCATGGAGAAGGGGCAGCATAGTTTGGAGCTACAGAGAGGCACTATATCAGGAAGATGCAGCACACCAAGTCTTCCCATTTCCCACCCCTATATCGCAACATATCCTGGAGAAGCAACAAAGATCTAATGAAAGCTATTCTGTTACGTATTTCAGCAAAGAAGCAACAAAGTATCACCGTCTGTTGCAAAAAGTCCTAAAGCCGTGATAAACTGTGTGTGTCTTGAATTGTCAATAGTTATGAAAGTGACCATCATCCTTCAGTGTTTACAGCACGGGATCATTGCAGGCAGCCACAGAGGATTTACGTGTTATCAACAAGCATGCATGACAGGCATGCATTGATCAGTTTACTGACATTCTGTGCACTAGAATAAGCCAATTCATTACCTTTGGCAACACAGCAGGACACAGTAAGACAAAGAGACACCAGTTTTGTTAAAACATTGGACCTAATCAATGGCACCCACATTTCTTTTACAGAAAACAAAATCAATCAAATCAAGAGGATCAGCAACTTTAATGCTTAATATGCACAAAGTTGGTACAATATTTATCTCCTTCATAATTCAGCCACCTCTAGCCTCACTAGGGAATATAATCAAAATAATGGATAGTTTGTGGATGACAACATCAACTCTCTGTTCCCTTGCTAACAATCCTGGTGATGGTGCGCACCAGGAGCAGTGGAGTTCCATAGCAAAGCACAGTGAGAGGGCCATCAGTTATACGAAGCATGGTGTTTGCGCTGCCTGATCAATAGTCTAGATCAGGTGTCAAAAATAGTCGTATCATAATGTGGCATTCGTAACTTTATATTTTAGAATGGGTAGGGCTTTGATACGTGTGATGACAAGACCCTTGCTCAATTGGAACAAGAAAAACATAGATCAGATTATCAATATTGGCAGCACCTAGAGGAATTCTCAGACAGAAGACAGATCACCTTTGAAGTCTTCGACGTTACACAGTTCAGCTTTAATGCTATAGCCTGAGTTCCTTCTTCCACAGGTATAGAAAGAGACATTCATAAAATTGTAGAATCATATAGTACAGAGGAGGCCATTTGGCCCATTAAGTCAGCACCAACAAAACTACTCTAAATCTACACTAGTCCTACCTTCCTGCAATTGGCCCATAGCATTGAATGTTATCATATTTCAAGTGCTCACCCAAGTACCTTTTAAAATTTGTGATGTCTCCACCTCAACTACCCTCCCAGAAAGTGTATTCCAGATTTCTACCACACTCTGGGTGAAAAGAAATTTCCTCAAATCCCATCTAAACTTCTTTCCTTTCATCTTAAAATTATATCCCCTGTTATTGACCCCATAACTAAGAGGACCAGATTTTTTTTTATCCACCCTGTCCGTTGTACTCTTATATACCTCAATCAGGTCCCCTGTCAGTCCTGATGAAGGGTCTAGGCCTGAAACGTCGATTCACCTGCTCCTCTGATGGTGCCTGACCTATTGTGTTGCTCCAGCTCCACACTGTATCAAATCTGACTTCAGCATCTGCAGTTCTTACTATTCTCTCTCAGCCTTTTCTGCTCTAAAGAAAATATCCAGCTTATCCAGCCCCTCTTCATAGCTAAAATGCTCCATCCTAGGCAACATCTTGATAAATCTCCTCTGTACCCCCACCAGTGCAATCATATGCTTCCTATAGCGCGGCGCCCAGAACTGCACACAGCACTCCAGCTGTGGCCTAATCAACATTGTGTACAGCTTCAACATAATCTCGCTGCACTTACAATTCAATCCATGACTGATAAAGGCAAGTGTCCCATATGTCTTCTTAACTACTCTATTAATCTGTCCTGCTGCCTTCATACAACTGTGGACAAGCACCGCAAGATGTTTGTGTTCCTCCAACCTTCCTAGTGTCCTGCCATTCATTGGCTACTTCCTTGTCTCTCAATTAATTCTCTCAATCCATTATCCATCCCAACACATCAACGGCCTTTGCCCTTACTATGCTAGTAAGTCAACACTAAATGTATGCATCCTTTCCTGTATGACTAGTATCCGTGAATGCGAAAGTACCGTTTCAACATTTAGTCTATTTTAGGATATTAGTTGAAAAGGAACACAATTGTGTAAATCTTTCCTACTAGTGCTTTTCCTCTATTCTGGTATTTGTGTTAAGTGCCACCTAAGTGATCACGCTCCCAGTGTTGTGTAGGCAACTGAGGTAGGCCTTGCCTCATGATGGTTTCTTCTAGATAGGTTGGTGTCAACTACCACATACCACCAGTGTCATTCATTAAGGAAGATAGTTTACAGGCCTGGCAATATCCTGTAATTCTGACTCAGGTGACTTGATCCTCTTTACTTTCTTCTTCATTACCTTCATACCTCTATGCCATCGATTTCTACGATAGATCTGCAAGAAAGAAGAGAAGACTTTAAAATGAGTGTGCATTACCCTTTTGGGATAAAGAGGTGGGAAGTTGTTCCAAGATACTGTCCACTTTGCTACCTTCCACAGTCAGATCTGAATGCTTCCTGATTTCCTGCTTCCTTTTATACATTCCTATATATTCCTTTTTCCTTTAAAGGAGTGCTCTGTCAATGATGAACATTATCCCCCAACTAGTCCTACAAGAATATTGAGTAAATGAGGTTAAAACTCAGCAGTAAAAACTGGTTTGGTAAGTGGCACAGGAGATATTACATAAGGAATTTGGGAAATATTAAGCTGATAACTTAAGATAAAGCAGAACCATCCTTAACCAAAAAGCATTGTCGATGACTAGTTATGTCCATGTTGATTCAAAGTGTTAGAATATGTTGGTGTCTGGGTAGGTTGTCTGATGTGTTACCCTGCAGAATCGTCTACTGTCTTACTGGTGAGAGAGTTGCCACTTATCATCAGTGTCATCTTTTCCTAGGTTACCTGGTGATGCCCATACCCACATCTGCTTCTTTTGCCTTAAAATCACCTATGTGAGAGTTGAAGACTTCAATTAAGTTCTGTGTTCTTTAGATTGGTGATAGAATCAGCTGATTTTTTGTCCATTTGTTGCTGTTGTCATACTTCTTGAGATATATAATAAAAATATTGTTAAAACTGGTAGTGAAGTCAAATGGCAGTGAAACGCTTATCCAGCTGTCCTGTAGACTGCTGCTGATGTATGGACATTATAGACCATCTTTGAAGAACTCATATGAGTTTCTGTGCATTTCAGTTGGGAGACAAAGCAGTGAGTACTTCCCCAAAGCCGAAATGCCAAATAAAAATTTCTTCCTATGTAGATATGAACTCCATTGGTTAAATGTGCCACAAAGAAATCATAAGGTTGATAATTTACTTTCCAAATTTACTTAAGTTCAACATAGTGTACAGAAATCTATGGAACTGCTTACAGCCGATCAGCAAATGAAAATGTCATGTTATTTGTTGTTTGTTTAAAGAAGGAAGGTAGAGTTATCACAGCCAAGAGCTGAGCCTGGCTATTAGATTTATGACAGATGTGTCTTTGAGAAATTGTTGTGCAATTCATTGTGGGCCATCACAGCTGAGCCCAGCCCCTTCCTCTCCTGCCATCCAGAATTGATTTTTTTTTGGCAAGTGATCCTCAATATTGAGCCCTGCTGATTTTTCATAGAACAACATAGAACATGGAAGCATAGAACAGTACAGCACAGTACAGGCCCTTCGGTCCATGATGTTTTGCGGACCTATTATCCTACTCCAAGATCCAACTAACCTGCATACCCTTTATTTTAATATCATCCATGTGTCTATCCAAGTA